AACCAAGAACTCAACAAGGAATACAGTTTCGTTGACATAGCTTGATGTTCTTCTGATGCAAATCGTTCAGGTACTCGTTCATCATCACCAAGTTGTTCAAGGTTCTTGAAAGCATCAGTAAACTTCGGTCCTGCATATGCAAGTACGTTGTACAACTGTTCCTTGAACTCCAAGAAGTCATACACTTCGCCAACTGACTAATGGCATTCGTGGTTACATGACTGTTGTGTACCATCTGCGTTTGAATGTCAGAAGTGGGGGTCATTCCTAGTCCATCTTCAGGCATCGGTGGTATGTTGGGTACTCCAGGTCCGTCGGCTCCTTGTGCATCCATGGCTTCGGTCCTGACAACCGACATAGCGAGCAAAAGCATCTTGAGACTTCTCTTGCACTGGCTTACCTTTCTTCTCCAGCGAATACCATGCATTCGGTTTACTTTCCTTCGCATACAAGTGCAATGGTTCGCGACTTTTTGCGTTCTTCTTGCGCAGTCTGCGTGAAGAGTTTTTTCCGAATTTCGTCCCTGCGCAGTTGTAGAACAACTGAAGAGTAGGAATACAAGTAGCTCAAGCGCCACGATAGGCATTCTGCCTTTTCTCTGATCCTTCTTGCATAGCTGTACAAGCCACTTACTCCAGATCCTGGGGTTCCATAGTCTGTACCTGTACAGGAGGGTCATCACATTCTTCCGATGACTCAGACTCTTCGCTGGTAGAGGGATCGCTTCCAGCTTCATCAGGTCCAGGATCCACTTTCTTTTCTTTAGGTTCTTCTTTGCTTTCTCCCCCATCCTTGTTCTCGGAGGTTGTGGCTTCCATGGCAGTTCCACTGCTGGGTCCGCCTGATCCTTTTCCCAAGCGCTTCTCAAACGTTTCGCGCAGTTTCTGCTTCTGGTGCTCCTCAAGCTTCTTCCGAAGAGCTTCTTTCTGATCATCCTTTCTCGGGTGGTTCTCTCAGTGACCTGGCGGTAGAGACGGTGCTTCTGTCCAGATGTTCTGCTTTCCTTTTCCACTGGACTTCTTACTTTCGGCATTCTGGCTATCATCCTCCAGGTTGACAACTTCGCTGCTTTTGGCCTGGTCCAATACTTTGGACCTTCTCCGCTTGGCTGAACCTTGCATGTCCATAAGCGCAGACTTCCGGGTTTCCATCGTAGCATCTTGCTCGGGCTTGTCCTCCGATACAGGGTCTGGTTTAGCCATCTTCTTCGACACAGCGTACGGTACTGACCTTTCTCCCTGCTCCTCTGTAGGGGGTTCAATCTCCGGGAACATATCCGGATGCTTGCGTTTTGCTTCAGCAAACTTCTTGTTCGCATCCCTGATCTGCGAGGAGATGGCGCCATAGTCGACGAAGGAAATTGCCGGAAAATACCTACTGTGTTGATCCTTTTCGTCCTTGTTCTTGTCGATGACGATGTTACGCATCGGGAAGAATTTCCTGAGCTTTTCCTTTGGTTGAAGTACTGTGAGCGCTGGCTCCCAAAGCTCATACACCAATTCCCGTACCTTGCATTGGTTCTTCCAGTGGCCTTCGTTCCAGCATACGCTGCACATCGTCTTGCTGGGTGGCAGCGACCCGAGAACGGTATACGGGTTACCTTCTCGGTCTTGCTTGTCCGCCCGGCCTCTCCCGACCGGGTAGCAGTGCCATTCGTCCATCGCCTTGCTCCGGCCCTTGCAGTCCCTGGCACGCCATATAAGGCGTATTCCGAAGCGGTTCTGTAAGTCATCGTTGAGCTCGTAGTACTCTTTCGACGACCTGAGCTGCCAAGGGAACGGCCTGACTGGTGTCTGGTCTCCTTCGCTGTTGAGGCGGAATCTCTGTGCGCCAAATTCCACAGAGTTTTCTGTACCTTCTCCTGCCATTCTGGGCTGAAGGGGTAGTACGTGCAGGGAAGATACTCTTCATCACTCCTGGCTGTATGTCCTGCTTTCCATTCATCCTCCTACACATGCTCGCGCCATTCCATGCCTTCCGTCTCCTCAGGTGGCTGGCGCTTTCCGCGCGGTCCCCAAAACGGTCCAGGCTGGGAGCTGGTCGGCTTTCCGAGCGGGCACTTGAGGACGGGCTTTGGCTTTCGGAACTTCAGGCTTCGTTGTCTTCTGTTTGGCCAACGTATACAACCTGTGCTTCGCCTGTTCCTCCCGGTGCTCGATTGCACGTTCAAGTGCCAAGGCCATACTCGTCTGCAGCTGTTGTGCACTGTCCTGCACCTTTTGAAGAGATTCAATAAAGTCCGATTGCGAGTTCTCCAAAGCTCTACAAGCCTCGGAATAGGCATTCTCAGTCTCCTTGGCTCTCTTCGCCTGTCCAGCAGAGTTCTGCACAAAGCTTTCAACCAGTTCAACAGCTTTTCTTTCGAAACAGTTCTCTCGAACCAGTTCTCTTTCTCAACAGGCACACTGACTTTGGGAGTCTGCTTGGCTCTTTGCTCCTTAGCTCTTCGCTCAGCTTCTCCCACAGCACGAATACGCTTTGTTTCATCTTCAATCTCCTTCTGCTTCTTAGCGCTTTCTTCTTCCAAAGCTTTCTTTCTTTGCTCCAGTTCGTCAAGCTTGCGTTTCCTCGATGCTGCTGCATCATCCGGTACTTCAGCTTCAGCTTCGGGTTGAGCTGCTTCGGCTTCTTCTGCTTCTCGAGAATTGGTAAGCTTAGCCCTTTCTTCTTCCCCTGCCGCGGGGCCGAATACTGTCCGGGGTATATACCGGACATTCGAGATAATCTTATCGATAAGGAAAAGAAATTCGGTCTGTGCGATGGGTCGTGCTGGAGTGCCTTATACTCTCGTTCGAGCAAAAGTACAGATTCGATACTGCCTGCATTCTCCATGGCCACATCGAGCTTCCTTCGAACTGGCATCTTTGAGGCTGAAGGTGTCTCCTCAGCTTTCTCAGCTTTCTCAGCCTTCCTGGCAGACTTCTCTGCTCTCTTGTTGCGCTTTTCTTCCTTTCGTGCTGCTTTCTTCTCTTGCCTTCTTTCGGCTTTGCTTTTAGTACCTGTTGCAGGAGTTGTCGCCACTGACGGTTCCTCTGGACGATTCCTTGCCGGAGTTGCAGGGGCTTTTCTTGGAGGGGTGTTCGCGGATTCTTCTTGTCCACTTCGGTCAACCTTCGGGAGTACGAGCACTTCGGTGACTCTTGTAGGTCGTTTCTCTGGAGGCTGATGTTCTTCTGGTAGGCTAGCTTCCAGTTCCATTGCTCCAGCTTCAGGCACCACTTTCTTCTGCGACTACCTGGCGCG